GGTCCAAACTGAACATGAAAACAAATCCTCAAATCCAATGCTCCATATTATTTTCCATCATTTTAAAATGTGGAAATAATATTTCTAAGATTAATTTATCATCCTTCAAATTATCTTAAAAAAATTATTCAATCTGAATTTCCAAATTTCCAAATTTTAACACTTTCTAGTTTTTAACACAATTTCCATATCAAGAATCTAATTTCAATAAAACCCCACTCTCAAGAGTAAACTATTCATTTATTGAATAAAAATTATTTTTGAGAAAATTACCACTTAGGTCCCTAAACTTTTCCCAATTTTCTACTTTGGCAACTAAACTTTTGAAATTTACATTTTGGTTACTAACCAAAATTTTGGGGTATTAAAAATAAGACTTCCTCCTCCATAGAGTCGTTGGTCACATTAAATTTGGACTCTAACCAAGTGATCTATATCTGGTACCTGTCTAAGACCTCTAGTGTTGGCATATTTCCCAAAATTGTTTGAAGAATAGTGAATCGGTTGAAATCGTTATGCCTCACTAGTAACCCACAATTAACCGGAACATCGAGTTGGTAAGTGACATCTTCCAACATAATTGTAGCTTCACAACTCAAAAAATGAAAATATGCGTCTCGGTCCTTCAACGTTCAACCAGAGCCGAAATCAATGTCGCGTTGACCTTAAAACCAAGTAAAAATGCAACTGGATATAACTTGGATTATTGTAGATATATAATAATTTGCTGATGCGGATATCTCAATGTTATTCCTAATTTATGAATACCTTGTTCTTATTTCAGACCAAGTTCGACTAAAGAAATATGAACAACATCAAAGAGTAACATTTCATCTCGGTTAGACATTTTATGGTTATTCTTTTAAAAAAGGAAAATTTATCAATTTTTTTCTTAACAATAAAAAATAAAAATCCTAAACCCTAAACCCCTATTTATAACCCCAAACCCAATGACTATAAATGGTTATATTAAAAAAAATCCCACTGAACTCGTCACCTCTAGGTGACGAGTTTTGCCTTTGTAACGCCCTAATCCAGTCCAACCTGAATATCAAAGGATTAAAGTGTCACATGGGACCACTGAAATGGCTAACCCAAAAAATTTTATTTTAAATTTCTTGTAAAACATCATGTTAAACCACCCATAGTAAAATAAAATAAAATATAATATATGAGTTTGCAAAATACGTGGGAGCTCTCAATACATCCAAAATGTAAATATTGAGTTTAAAACAAAATAGAGTTACGATTGAATACAAAATGTTCTACAAATAGTACATGCCCTCTAATATAAATCAAGACGTACATTAAAGCCTCGACTGATCTAGATTATCTGATGATGACACGCCCCATGAACGGTCTCCTAAGAACTTGTGCACAAAAACACATTCTGAATGCTGAGCTTACGAGCTCAGTGCAACATTAATAATTGTATTGTACTACATGTATTCACTATATGAGCATACTAGCAGCATAAGTATGACTACATGTGAATACTAACATGAAATACATATCATGGTGTGGCTAAGGGTTCTATTCTTTGGAGCGTACACCTCTCTATCATTTTTAAAATACCATCGGGTATTTAAGGTGAGATCTAGAACTGCGTCGAAAATGCACACCCAGCCAACTTACTCCGTCGAGTCTTGGGGCATCTGTGCCCAACCGATAACTGAAAATGATTGGCACTGACTGGATATATACAAATAAAAATATCGTCATCTTCTAAAGTAACTCAGGTGTCCAGGTTGTTTCTCAAGCATCAAACAATGATAGTTTTATGTATCCTAATTGTTATTGTTATAGTTATATTGTGTTTATTGTTGTTCTCACTTGTAGTTTTATGCAATGACGTTCTGGTGTTATCAGGTCCCTTGAGTCTAACCCCTTGGTATCGAGACTGAAAGTGGCTACTATATTTTAAGGAAGCTGGGTAGTATCAATACCCTTGCTAGAATATCGATACCTATGCTGGGTACCGATACCAAAATAGGTTTCGATGTTATAAAAAATACCTTAATATTGTTACCACTATTTAGAGTATCAATACTCCCATGAGTACTAATACCAAAAATGGCTACTAGAATCTATAACCTATACCAGTATCGATACTCTACCCTGGGCATTGATATGCTACTAATAGTATTGGTACTCGTTAAATGAGTATCGATACTCCAAGTCTAAAAACCTTTGTTTTTAGGCTATCAAATGAACAACATGGTACTATTTTCCGAGTACAAATACTCGTGCCTAAAGATACCCTATTTTGGCACAAAAATGACCCTATAGCTCACCCGAGAGTCCTACTGAGGTTCCTAAACTTTATTAAAGTTTTATGTATGATAGAATGAGTCACAATAGGTCTATAAACATATTGAAAAATGCCAAATACTGTCATCTACCATGAACATTCTTCATAACTCATTCATGCTAACAAACACACCTAGTGGTCTACATATGGTAGAGTTGAGTTACAAGTGTGATTACCTTGGATCCTAAGTTGTTAAGAACACCCAAAACATAACCAAGAATTTGCTTTTCCTTCCCCTTGGCCTTAAAGCTTTCTCCAACTTCTCTCACTAGGAAAAAGTTAAAAACATGAGTAACTAACTTGATAGGATGCTTCTAAAAAGGATTTAGAGCATTTCTTGAGGGTTAAATCTCTACAAAATGAGCATGTTACACTTAGGTTTCTAAACCCCCGACTAAAACCTATATTTGGATACCCTGACCAAAACTTTCCATTAAGAACTTGAAACCTTATGATGAGAAAATTAATGTTCTTACCTTAGGACCAATTGATAAGGCTTGGAATGCTACAAAGTTTACACCTTTTTCTTGACACGACAAGGAAGGGCAAAGAGGGTTTCAAGTGAAAGGGAATAAGGAAACAAAAGAATGGTGACAATGAGATATGAAGGGGAGAAAGTTTTCATATTAGAGATCATCAAATTTTAATAAAATTTCATCCTTTAAACTAAAATGGGTTTATTACTTCCTTGGTCCTTCAAGCTTTGGTCGTACTTCAAAAATTCACTTTTTAACTCTAAATAGGCTTAAGCCAAATTCTCACCAATTCTTGGGTCAAAGGTTTCCTACAACTACTAAGTTTATCCGAAGCCTCTCGGGTCAACTTGAAATTCCTAACCCATGATTTAGGGCATTACAACCTTGACCATTGAAATCTAACTATTACAGTTGTCCTTTGCACAATGGCTATAAATGACTAGTTCTTTTAAAATTCAAGAGAAACTCGTCATGTCCTTAGTTTTTTTTATAATTTTTATAATAATTATTGACTTTAAGAAAATTAACCTTCTACAAGACTCGTCACACCGATGTGATGAATATCTGGAAATATATTATAATATTGGCCCACGTGGGCCCCATGTACCTGAGACTATTAAATTTTTTTTTATTGAACTCGTCACCTCGACATGACGAGTTTGTGCTGGACTGTAGCATTTTTCGTAGATTGCAAAATAAATTCGGAGTTGGCTTATTGGGCCAAATAATTTGGCCGCATGAGGTAAGGGGAACCCTAAAAAAGAACACTGCCAAGTGGCCCATTTAATTTGCTCCATGTGTAGTACTATTTATCAATCAAGAAAATATTTAGTATTGTAGTTGATATTTAATCCACATTCTCATCGTGGTGCATGAACTGTCCCCTAATGACTTGAGAATAGGAAACAAAGTGTTAACCAACCAATTACACTTGAATTAATTCAATAAGTTGTATGTGTTAAATTCAAATGGTACTTAACTATCATTGCTTGCCTTTTTGTTAGTTACATTAATCATAGTTGTCTAGGTAAGATGGGGGGGTTTCATGGGGTCTACGACACAGCATATATTCTTTAAAGGAATAGCAAGCAAAGCGAAGCATTGATCACCAGACTCCAATCTAAGGTTATACTTGTAAATAGAAAAGAGGATGGCATGTGTTACTTAACCATGCCACTTGATAGCAACCACTTAACCAAGCCAACCACTTGAAAGCAAAAAACATTCCCTATCAATTTAATCTTCAGTTTCTCATCATTAGCTTCATTGTGGTTCCTAAAATTATTAGCTTTTTTGACTTTATAACTAAAATATTAAGTTAACCTCTTTCAACTCCAAAACCTGCTTTCTAGTTTTATATTTATTGTTCTGGTGTGTGTGCCAAGACGCTTACAATTTACAAGTTTTTCCATCAAAATGTGGTGATAATTCCAACACTTTTACATTACTTGTAATAAAGCTTAACTCATTTTATATTCAATGCCATTTTTGGATCAAAGACTTTTAACACATAACAAACATTACCAAACAAAAAGAGAGAGAGATTAATTATAATAAAACCCCCAATCTCATCTAAAGGTGCAATATTTACAACAACAACAAGATGTTGCCTTTGGGTTTATCATTTATGGGTTGATTGTTTTTCATCTCAGATGTATATATATTAGTTATTTTAGTGTATGATATAATTATTGTCAACATGAACGAAATTAAGATCAAATTTTAGGAGTTAATATATAAAGTGATCAATTATTTATTAAATATTTGAATCTAAAATTGAAATAAATTAAAATCTTATTTAATTAATATTTTAAATTTATTCAAAATTTAACATGCATAAATTAAGTGACCTTAGTAATTAAAAGATAGTTGTTATCCCTAAAATTTCGGGCTCGAATACCAACAATTATAAAATGTTTGAATGTTCATTATCAAATAGTTGAGAATATTTATAAATAGACACGGACATCCTCTAGTAATATATACATTTTTTTATATATACCTTTTAGAAACAAATAAAATTGCATGGGAAAGGAGAGGCCATCAAAGTAACCCTTACGTGGCTAACAACACAAACATTATCTCTCTCTTGTCTATACATAAAACAATCTAACAGATCAACTTCAACGTGTTTGATCTCATAGCAGATTATTTTCCTTTCCCTAAAGCTAATTCTTATCATTCTTTCTTTTTGAATTTTTGGTGTGCTTGAAATGGAAAAGCACCTCAGGCTCAACCCAATACCTTCAACGCAAACTCCAACAACTTTCGTAGAGGCCGATGCAAACGCATTCAAAGACCTGGTCCAGAAACTCACGGGGTTCACCAACGACACAGAGAAGCTCCCCGTTACTCTCTCTGGAAGGGTTTCCACAAAAACATCCTCACACGGCGGTGACCACCCAACGCCTCCGCGCCATCCACCGTTCAAGCTCCAAGAACGTAGGCAACTACACAACATGAGAAAGCTCGGTCTCGCCACTCTACGTAACTCCCCAAGTGAATGCGCCCGCTTCTGCCAAGCCCTCCAGCTTGAATCGCCGGTGACACCGCTAGGCTCGTCTGAATCACTCTTTTACTCGAGTTCTGGTACTGTATCACCATCTCCTCCAGCGGTTTCGGAAGAGGAAAAGTCGATTACAAAGAAGGGTTTTTACTTGCACCCATCAACATCAAATACACCAAGAGGAAGCCGATTACCGCAGCTCTTGACTCTTTTTCCACTAAGTTCACCTCGTCAGGAAAAACGAGATTAGGGCTATGTGTTTAAGGTGTTGTTTGGCTTTCAATCATTTGTGGTGCTTTTGTTATGGTTGTATCTTCGTTTAATTATGATGGGGAGTTTGGTATTGCTTGATTTCTTGATAATTTATATGCTTGATTTTATATTTTTTCGCCTGCACCCATTGGGACTGGATTATCTTTGGAAATTAAAAAAATCGTAGTAATGAAAAAGATTGAACCTCATATAAGTATTAACTAAAGACTTGGTGGTAAAAAATGTATTCAGTGACAATATTAAGGATTCAATTAAAAAACCAGTAAATACTAATATTTTATTATTATTATAGTTTTTACTCATAATTTGTAATTTTTAAGAATTCTTTCTACAGTATATCTATTTATTTATAAAAAGGATCATTCCTGAATTCGAAGATGATTAAATAATAATTTTAATTATTTATCGAAACACAAGATAAATGTAAATGAAGATATGAAATAATAATGGTGGATTGACTTGAGTTAGCGAAGATGGGAGCATGATGTTGGATGCGGTTTTCCATTACACTTTGGTATTCTCCAAAATCCCATTAGAAACTTTCAGATTCTTCAGTCACGATAATAAGGCTTTTTAGTTTGTTGAGGACGAATCTTTCTTCTTCCTTATTTCTATTAGCTCTCTTTGTTTTTTTTAATTTTATTTGTAGATCTGGTTTAGATCTATGATTTTTCTTGTGTTTTTCCTTTGTTATTTTTAGATTGTTTTTGTTCATATTCGATCTGCAGGTTACTAGCCCAAATCATTTTATTAAATCATATGCTTGGATCTTTGAGCTTGTCGAAATAAAAACATTGATTTTCTTTGCTTTGCCGTGTTTTCAAGAGTCTGGAGCTTTGATTGTAAGTTTTTTTTTAAAAAGTTCAGTTTGTTCAGCCTTTGACTGTGTTTGTCTCTTCATTCGGACCCGCTTTGGCTAAACGTTGAACTCCTTCTCTCTCTCTTTCTACTCTTTTCCAGCTTTCCAAGCTTGCCCCAGTGGATCACTTTCGACTGATACAACTTACAGTTTTTATGATTTATTTCGGGTTTCGAAGCTCAGCTAAGTGGTTGGCTTCTTGATCTTCTTTTTTGGGATTTTTTGCTTTTCTTCTTAAATTGCAGTAGCGTACAGTGCTTTAATCTGGGTTTCCTGTGACAAAAGCAACATTGATTAAAGGATTAGTATTTTCACCGAGGCTCTCTTCAACCCTCGCTTATCTGTTCAAGATCTTGGTGAATCTCAACTCGATTCCCATCAAATTCTTCTCAAGGCTCTTTGGATATTTTTGTATCTCTTTCTTCTGATCTATATATCATATTCTCTACAACTTCATCACAGTTTCTCACAAATATCAAATCTGTTCTAGTTCATCACTGTTCTGTTTTGATCTATATTGTTATTTTTTGTTGTTAGAGGTACTCATTTTTGTAGTTGAAATAATTCTTCAGATCCACTAACTTTCTTTTAATTTTTTTCTAACAAGCTTAAGCTATACGAACCAATATTTTTGTTAATTTGTTTGTTATGTTGAATATTATCTACTGAAATCTTGGCGTAACTATGTTATAGGTTTGGTTGCATTGTTATCTGTTGGGTAGCTAAGAAAAATTGAAGGAAGTGGGACGGAGAAAAGTGCTCCCATATTTTTTTTTTAATTTTTGTATTCAATTTGGTTTTAAAGGATTGAAAGAGACACCTTACTTGAGCGTCAGTTACTGTGAGTGTGCATCTCTTGTCTTCTTTGGAATCCTTTTTCATAGTTCCTCATAGCTTCGGCTACAGATGATTACTTGAGGTCATGTCCTTTTAGATCCCATAGGACGTATAGGGGGAGGTCTCGACATAGTGATGTCAAGGAGACTAGACTTAGAGTTTGTTCGTTGAATGTAGGCACATTAAATGCTAAGCTGTTGGAGCTGACCGATGTACTTAGTAATAAGAAAATTGATTTTGCATGTATTCAGGAGACTAGGTGGAAAGGGGCTCGCGCCAGAGAGTGTAATGGGTACAAGTTGTGGTATTCAGGTGTAGATAACGCTAGAAATGGGGTGGGTATCTTGGTATCCTCTAGGCTCAAGGAAAAATGTAGTTAAAGGTTGTATATACCGGGATAAGATCATGATGATTAAGGTTATTATAGAAGAGGAAGTGGTGATTGTCCTTTCAGTGTACGCTCCACACGTTGGCCTAGGGGAAAGAGAGAAACGTTGCTTTTGGGATCAGTTAGATGATGTACTTAGGAGCATTCCGGAGGACCAAAGAGTTTTCATAGGGGGAGACTTCAATGGCCATATAGGTAGTGCAACCGATGGGTATAACGGTGTCCATGGGGGTTTCGGTTTTGGTAGTAGGAACGAGGAGGGGCGTACGTTGCTTGAATTTTCTACTGCACACGATACGGTGGTCAGTAACTCCTTCTTTAACAAGAGAGATGTGAACCTGATTACGTTCCATAGCGGGGGACATTGTACCAAAATTGACTACATTCTGGTACAAAATCGAGAACGATGGGCTTGCATTGACTGTAAGGTGTTCTCGGAAGAGGCATGTGCATCCCAACACAAATTGTTGGTTTTGGTGTTCCGTGTTTCCCATAGGCGGAGCACTCATAGGAGGGCTAAACTTTGTAAACCTAGGATCATTTGGAATAACTTACATGGATCGAAAGCTGATGACTTTAGGAGTAAGGTTTTATCTATTACAGGTTTTGGAACTACAAACTCAAACAATTCAGATATGTTATGGAAAAATATGGCAAATACCCTCAGGGAGGTGGGCAAAAACACCATTGGGTTGTCGTCAGGGAAGGTCAAGGAACATAAAGAATCATGATGGTGGAACGACGAAGTCCAAACTAAGGTGAAGACAAAGCAAACTTGCTTCAAGGAGTTTCTACAATGCAATGACGACAAAGAAAGATCGAGAGCTAAGCAAAGATACAAGGAGGCAGTGGCTAAAGCAAAGGATAAGGCATACGAGGAAATGTACAAGAGATTAGACACCAAGGAAGGAAAAAATGTCATCTTCAGGCTTGCAAAATCCAGGAAAAATAGGAAAAAGGATATATGTAGCATTAGGTTTATTAAGGACAACAATGGTGTTCTTTTAGTGAAAGATCATGATATTAAAAGGGTTTGGGGTAGTTACTTCTTTGGCTTATTTAATGATGGTGCCTCTCCCAGTAGAGATAGTACCGTTGATGGCTCGATCGACCATCATACTACGACAAATGACTGCCCTACAAGTAGGATTGGGTTTGAGGAAGTCAAAATGGCCCTAAGAAAGATGGGGAGGGATAAAATTGTCGGTCCAGATCAAATTCCTATCACTGTATGGTTAGCCCTAGGAGAAGAGGGAGTTAAGTGGTTGACCAATATCTTTAATATTATTTTAGAGACTGCCAAGATGCCAGAGGAGTGGAGAGAGTCTACAGTGATACCAATATATAAGAATAAAGTAGATCCCCAACGTTGTGGCAACTACAGAGGTATTAAACTACTCAGCCATACCATGAAACTATGGGAAAGGGTGATAAAGACTAGGTTGAGACAGGTTACTAGGGTTTCGAAAAACCAATTTGGCTTTATGCCAGGCATGTCTACTACAGAGGCGATTCATCTACTTCGACGACTTATGGAGAAATATAGGGGAAAAAATAGAGATCTTCACATGGCGTTCATTGACCTTGAGAAGGCGTATGATAGCGTTCCCCTCGATACGATCTGGAAGACCTTGGAAAAGAGACGGATCCCAACTGCTTATATCCGGGTGATTCGTGATATGTACTGTAGCTCTACTACATACATCAGGACTACAGCTGATGACACTGAGGCATTCCCGGTGGAAATCGAACTCCATCAGGGGTCGACTCTTAGCCCTTAAATCTTCACCTTGGTTATGGACGACATCTATTGTGCGACACCATACAGTGTTACATGGTGTATGCTTTTCGCTTACGACATTGTCCTAGTTGCTGAAACAAAAACTGAGCTGAATAGTAGACTGGCTACCTGGAAGATTACTTTGGAAGACAAAGGTCTAAGGATCAATATTGAAAAGACAGAGTATTTATGTTCAAACATCAGTGGGAACCAAAATGATGAAGATGTAGAAGTATGCATAGAAGGACACGTTATCTCCTCAAAGGATTGTTTCAAGTACCTAGGGTATATGATACATAAAGATGGGGGTGTAGATGATGACGTTACACACCGTATAAAGGCGGGATGGCTAAAGTGGAGGGCTGCTACTGGAGTTTTGTGTGGCAAAAAGGTACCTCTAAAACTTAAGGGAAAATTTTATAGAATGGAAATAAGACCACCGCTGCTATATGGATCAGAATGTTGGGCAATCAAGAAGGATCAAGTAAGGAGGATGAAGGCTGCAGAAATAAGAATGCTTCGATGGGCATGTGGTAGGAATCTGTCGGACATGACACCAAACTCTGCTACTAGGAGGTCCTTGGGGGTGGTGCCTATATCCGAATAATTGAGGGAGGGAAGACTACGGTGGTTTGGGCATGTCCTTAGGTGAAAACCGTCGGAAGCGGTCAGGAGAGTAGAGTCAATTACAGTCGACGGTGCCAGAAGGAGGGGACAACCAAGACGGAAGTAGGAAGACTGCTTGAGATCTGATTTGAAGGATTTATCCCTTACCCCGAGGACATAACCTCTGATAGGAAAGTATGGAGACTTAAGACCAGGGTAGCCGAGTAGTTGCGGGTCACAGTTATACGGTGTAACTTCTCTGTCCTCTTTTTAATGTCTTTGTAGTAATTCTCATGACTTCTAATTTTTAAGTATCTTTCATTGGATTTTATGAACGCTTAGAACTAAGGTAGCGAAGTGGTGTTGCCTTAATTTAGGTTTTAATCCATTTGACTTTATTTCTTCTTGTAGCTTTCTATCGTTGACTCATGTGTATCCTTTTTTCAGTTTTCTTCTTTTTAAATTTAGTCAGGTCTTACGTTTCTGTTTATATGCAGAGATTTGTAC